GTTTGATAGAGGCCTTCTACATACTAATTATCATGGCAATATGGAAACAATAGAGTGCTGAACTAGGAGTCAGGAAGACTTTGGTTCAAATCCTGCTTCAGACACTTCAATATATGTGACTGGGCAAATTATTTGACCTAAGACTGTTTCCTTATCTGTACAATGGAAATAAAAGCATTTATCTCACACAGGTGTTGTAAGGATCAGCTAAGATGATGAATATGAAACACTTGGCAAACTTTAAAGAGCTATACATGTGAGTGGTAGCTTAGGAAGAGGAAGATGATGAGCTGATTCTGCCCTTGATGGCCATTTCTTTCCCTTCTGAGGTAACAATAGGGATGTGAAACAAAAGGGAATTGAGTTTTTAATTTCTGGTTGAATAAATCTCTATGTAACCCAAAGTCAAGAATATTGGGGATAAAATACCTATGCATCCTTTCTCTACTATCTCTATTAAATGATTCAGTCATTATAGTAAATACTCCTTTTTTTTCCAGACACTGACCATCTGAACAGATAGACAAGTGTAAGCTATAATTATTCTTTGGCAGTTTAAATAGTCCTAACTGGGCATGTTTCAGTTGTTGTAGCTAGTTAGATAATAACAACATTTATACAGTCCTTCAGGATTTGCAAAATAATTCATATAAGTTATCTGATTTTATTTCATTCTGATTTCTATTCTGCTATCCTCTTATTTTAGAGATGAATTCATCCCATTCATGTTCATAGCAATGACTATTAATTCTATGTTTCCCATCATCCCAAGTTTGTTAGAGAACCATGCTGAGTCTAAGGTCACAAGTTCTATCTCTCCTTGGGGAGAGACCTATAGTGCTTTCACTTAAGAGATCAATGGTTGTCTGATCCTGCTGGCACTTAGAGTGGAGGAAAAGGCAGAGCATAGGGCTAGAATGAGAATAAACTAGAAATTATAGACCCTTGAAAGGCAGTGAGAGACCATACTCCACGGTGCTGAGTGACAGAGAAACTCTATTCGTGAATGAACACTGATGCAAGTCACTAGGTGGCAGACTTGGCTTTGCTCTCTGCTACTGGTCTGACAAGTAGGTTGATGCTAACTTTGTCCCTGCTAAATTTTAAAAGACTCTCTGACCACATTTTTACAGATGGTTTAAGTATCATTCTGCTCTATGGTTACTGACAATACCTTTCACTCTGGTCTCAGTCACCTGGAAAATACACGCCAAGGTAAAAAAAAAAATAGAAAGAGTAAAGAAATTTTTATCACTACTCCTGAAAAGACAACTCAGAACAGACACCCCCTAATGACAGCTTGTTAGGCACTTTATTATCTTTGTACATGGAAGGTGGAAAAAGACCTGGATTCAAGTGCTGCCTTTGACACATAACTCTGACTCTGGGCAAGTCACTTAAGCTCTCAGTGCCCCAGACAACGAAGACTATATATTGCAAAGGACCCACTTGCATCAAAGGGAGTTTCTTCATCTGGGAGTTCCCTAGACCAATGATTATAGGTCTAGTCTCTATCCCTATATGAGGAATATCACATTACTATCCTAATTCAGTTGATGTGTCAACCTTGTTGAGTTTTAGAGCTTTGAAAATGAAAAATTCAAAAGCAATTGATTGAATAAAGATGCTTCTGAATAAAGGGGCAAGTGATTTATGTTTGGATGGCAAATAGAAAGGCGTCATAGTGCAACCTGTACACTTGAATCCATTAATCATTATCTACCAAGGTGCAAATCAGGATGATATATAGTAGGAAAAACACTGAGCCTGAGCCCGAGTCTAAGCTCTATCATTTACTATCTGTGTGAGCCTGAGTAAGTCACTTAACTTTTATGAGCATGTGCTCATTTATAAAATGGGTAATACCAGCCCACCTTGGGGGTAAACGAGACCTTCTCTCTTTTGAGACTGTAAAGCACTATATAAACACAAATTGATATTATGAATAAAGAAAAAGGCTTTTCATGTTCAGATGCAATTCTAAATAGGAATTCGAAAATAATTATAAGACATCCTTACTGAAAAAAAGTGGAAAAGATATTTAATGATTTCCCTCCTAAAATTATGTTCTATTTGTGTCACCTGCGATTAAGTGTTGCATCAAACGGAGGAGTGTGAAATGAAGAAACGTGGGCCGCCAGGTCAGTGAAAGACTGAGCCGTTTATTATTCTGAGGGTCAGGATTATATAGTGAAAGCTAACAATCACTCCCAAGGCATTCTCCCCATTCTTAGGTGACTAACCCCAGCCCTTACGCACATCCTTAATTGTTCACACCTGCTTACTATCAAGGTCTAAGGGTCAGAGTGTTCTAACCCTCTAGGCACTGGAAGCTGGTGAGCCAAATGTTCTGAATAATTAAGCCCTTAGTAGGAAAAGGAAAGAGTCAAGCTCTAACCTAAATTCCTTATCCCATATTAGACTCTCCAGCTCTGGCCCTCAACATATTTGCCCATTATGTGTTGTATTCATCCAGTATATAGTTAAGCTCCTTGAAGGCAGGAATTGTTACTGTTTACTTTGTCATGTATCCTGAGCTTAGCCCAGTGTTGGCATGTAAGTAGGCAGGCAGCAGATATTCACATTTACAACAAAATCATATTCGATTAGTTCCATTCTTTCATTCCACAAATATTCATTAAGTTTTGCTACATGCAAAGCATTGTGCTAGGTGCACTAGGTACTACTGGGGAGCAAACAGATGGACAACATAACCCCTGCCCTCTAAGAGCTGATATTAGTAAAGAGAACGAGAATGTAAATAAACAAGAGAGAATGTGTTACAAGAGAGACAACAAAGTGTTACTGGGATACTGAGAAGGAAGAGATGGTAGGAAAGTCATGAAGGAAGAATCATTTGAGATGACCTTTGAAATATAGGGTAAGGAATAACATGAACACAAAGAAACATTTGAAGACATAACGAACTGATACACAGTGAAGCAATACTGGGTAAAAATATGAATGACTGCAACAAAGTAAATAGAAAAATTTAAAAACCCTGAAAAATGCCTCAAATTGACCATTGTGTAAATTAGGATAGGAAAATCTATTTCTCTTTTTGCAGAAGTAGGGGGAACTTCATGGGTAGGAACATGGCATACACTCAGATTTTTTCATGTGTATGTTAGTCTTTTTCCTCTTTTAATTCTTTGTTATAAAGGATGGCTCTCTGAAGAGACGGAAATATATAAATCTATATGAAATGCAAGTGACATAAAAATGTCTTAAAGAAAAAGTATACATAAATATATAGGTATATATATTATACACACACATATAATATAGATATGGAAAAGTACATGATATAAAAAAAATTAAGAAAAAGACTTCTATAAGAATAAATGTAGGGATGAGCAAGCAAAAAAGCATTCAAGAGAACATGAACAAAGACTTGGGGCCAGAAAAATAAAAAAAGATAGGGCACACTTGGGGAACAGTAAGTCAATAAAAAAGTCTGAAGGACAGTGATGAAAAGGTTTCATGTGATGCAGGGAGGACACAATAAAGACTTAAAGTCAATGGACCTGATAACTGGTCACTGATGAGAGCAGAGCCTGGAATGCAAAAGGTTAAGGAGTAAGTGGTGGGGAAGAGAAGATTAAGTTGCTTGCCAGTGAAAGGAAGTTGACAGAATGGCAGAAGGAAGGTGCAGCTGATTTTCTTAGGATAGGATCCTACCAAGTTTGAAGTTTAAAAAAAAAAAAAGATAGCACAAAGGGGAGATGCAATAATTGATAAAAGAATATGCCAGAGGAAGTGGGAAGGGCAAGAAGGGAAATCTCTTGCTCAGAAGAGGAGTGAAGGAAGAGAGGATAAGTAAACATACAGAATATATGGAGAGGCAAGGAAGTTTAGAGGTCTCAAGTCCGTCTTTAATCAAAAAGCAGAAGTGGGGTGAAGGAAGCATGAGAGAGGTCTGAACATGTGAGGAATGTTAAGTAAACAAGAAATACATAAAAATACTACAAAGCAGCAGTGTGGATCCAGCTGATTACACTGTACACATATACAGTGGTACCAACCAGTTAAGTTTCATGACATTCTCCAGCAATGAATGAACATCCATCCACAAGCAGATTGGAATAATTCCCTACTGGCTGAGGTGGTCAAGATGTAGCATTTTAGAGTAGAACTAAAGGCCCTGTTGAAGAAGTTCATTGTAGACAACTTGTGTTTTCTTGGGCTGTTGTTTACAAAGGAATTGAACCCAAATTTTCTCCCATTCAATGTGTTTCCAAAATAAAGAAAAAAGTTGTAATGTAATTTTAAAGAATATCTAAGATGTGGGAATTTGCTAAAAATTAAAGAAACCCAATCTTCATGTCAAAATAATGGTAAAATGTTGAATGCTGGATTTGCAGTCAGGAGGTCCTGGGATGAAATCCAGTCTGATACTACCCATGTGACCCTAGGCAAGTCACTCAAACTAAGCCTTAGTTTCCACCTCTGTGAAGTGGGGATAATAGCACCTGCTTCATAGCACTGTTATAAGGATAAAATAAGGTAAGAAATGTAAATTGTTTTGCAAACCCTAAAGCACTGCTTTAATATCAGTTCTTATTACTAATGATCTCTCCAACATATACTGCAGCAATAAAAATGCCTAAAGTCAACACTGAATGTGAACATGAACCAGATAACTCTAGAAAACAGTGATGCTGGCACATTATCAGATCTCATAGACAATGGAATATTTGTAGCCTGTTTCCTCATTTGTAAAATGGGGGGGTTAAACTAAATAATTTTTAAGGTCCCTTCCAGCTCATAGTTTTGTGACTTATAACCATAAAAAAACCCCATGATGCCCTAAAAAAAATCAACTAATATATATAATATATAATAATGGAAGAATGAAGAAAATGCTGTTGGTTTGCATTTAGAGGTGGATGACACAAAGAGTCTAATCAGATGGGTTATCCAATATGCTTTTTAAACATTTTTTCTTCACCTGTGCTTCTCTACCTTCTCAGCAGGTGTCACCATAACCACGACAAGCATTCCACAGCAGGGTATGTAACTTTATTTTTCTAGCATAATAATTTAAAGTATTTACACACTGCACACTCACTCTTTTACACAAATACTTATTAGTATATCCATGAACCACATCTAAAAGTTTCCTGCAAAGTCTTGACACATTGTGAGGGTTTCCAAGCACACAAAGAAATAGAAAAGAATTGAAGGCTTCTTAAGGCAGTCACTGGAAGCATCTGTGGAAAATCCATGTTCCTTCCATGCTTGAGTTCCCCAGGAGACCATTCACCAGCTTCAGACTATCCACCCACATGTTTGGGGTAAAGGGAAACTTTTTTTTGGCTAATGGTGGATTTCAGGAACCAACATGTACAAGTAACATTTTCTCCAGAAACCAGGGAGAAGGAATAGCAGAAAATGAACTTAACCCTCCCCCTAGGGAAGAACTTCCATTTCTGAAACATACGGATCTGTGGGGCCTAGGGACTACAAAGTAATGTACAGGCAGGTATTCTAGCAAGAAAGGGAACTGGTTAAGTATACTGTAAGAGAGTTAGGTACTTACACCCATAGTGTGATTATGCACCAGGAATACAGAGCACTTCCATTTATTCTTTCATGTGAAATACAATGCTCAGCTTTATTTTTTCAGATCACTAAAAGAGGCACTTTTTTCCTCCCTGAAAAGGACCTAAAAGTGTAGAAAAGTGATGGCACACCTTTCAGTCCAAAAGTCTTCAGGATTTCACCTATTGCTTTGAGAAATGATCTTTCTTCAATCTGATAACAATTTGTGCAAAAACTATGATTTAAAAAAAAATAAGGAAATTTGTTCAAATTTGTTCACTTGATTTGAAGGTAGAGGATCTAGGTTCAAATCCCAAGTTCTATTACTTAACTATGTGACTCTGGCAAGCCAATTAACCTCAGGACTCTGGTTTCCTTATCTGTAAAACAAGGGGGCTGGACTGAATGATTCCTAAGATCCTCTCAAGATCTATTTCCACTGAACTAGCTCTGGAGTATGTGTCCCACTTTGGCACACATTGACTCTGAGATCCTAGGCAAGTTACATAACCTCTAAGAACTGCTACACAACTCTCTAAGACTACCAGTTTCAGAGAAGTTGCTATAACCTGCATTGGTAGAGGAACATCCTCATCTCTAAGTTCCCTATACCACTGAAAGCAAAGGTCCAGTCCCTAGCTCTGGAGCCACTGTATCATTCCATGTGAGAGCCGGGATTCTTTTCAACATTTTCCCAGACCTAGCACCAACTTGTTCTCTCAAGCTCTTGGATACATGAATAGACAAGGAGCCAAAGATACCTATCTCATCACAGCCCTAAATTAAACCAGCATTTCTCAGTGCAAAGAAGCCTCAAATCACTCAAGACTGTTGCTGTGTTGAACTCCAGCCAGCTTCCTCAGCTGAAAGAACAAAAGGAGGACTTGGTCATTAGCTCTGCTATGTTTACAGGCAAAGTGATGTGGAAGAGGGAGGCAGTTAGTTGACAAATATAAGCTAAACACAGATTTACACATTTTCAAAATTATCCAAATGCAGTAAAGCGGTCTTGGTTCCACCTGCTGCAAGAATATACTTTAAGCTACAATGAGGTGGTCAAAGATTCATTTAACTCTGCTTTTTCTTTTAGGGGAGGAGAATGGGGGGAGGGTGGCACAGATAAACAAGAATTAGAGCTCTGGCTCCCAGACCTTTGAAAACAACACCGAGTTAGATGGATAAATTACTACTCTTCAAATTCATTTAAAGGTTTTGGGAGAGAAGCTGATGTGATGACCTGGGCAACAACCATTACTTTAACCAATTCACCATGTCAGCATAACAAAGCTTATATTGTCATTGCTTCCATGTCCCATTTCATCTTGGATATTTGGACACAGTCTTAACTGGGAAAGGTGACATGTATGAAAAACTTGGAAAAGAACAGCAAAGGGAAAAGACTATAAGGAAGACTACAAGAAACAACATAATGACATTTAAAAAGCTGTTCAGAGAAAAAAAGGTTGATAGTACATTAGAGTACAAAAATTTTGACTCAGAGAGCGCCTTTTTCTTCTCTCTAAAGACTAATTGGCAAAAAATGTCAGTGTAAGATTGGCAGTTGGGATCTCTTCCTCAGTAGTCTAAGATAAGCATATATGCTTATCACTGGGTGAAAGATGGAGGAAAATAGGATAAAGATATAGTTTAAATGATCTAATCCGCTTGATCTATAAAAATAAAGAATGTGATTTTTATGAACATGAAAATTGAGGTCCTTGGCAACACAGCACTAAGAATCAGGTAAAAAAATAGTAGTAATGAGCATATCTGCATCTTAAGTAGGCCTTCTTCAGAGGGAGTACTGGGTGTGGTCTCTGTGTGTATGGACTATACATATTAACCATATACACACATAAATATTTAATATATAAAAAATAAAGTGCTTTCTAACAGGTCCCAATGCAGGGACATTATAAAACATTTCACAAAACTGCAAAGCAAAATTGATACAATCAAAGAATACTACATCCAACATACATGAAAAACAGTCCAACACAATATGTACAATCCGGTGGGTGTCCCAGGACAAACATCCCTTCATATACATGGTATATACATATATACTCTTATCTTCTTACTCAATATATTATGACAATATATATTTTAAAACTTTTGTTATAGACAAAAAATAAAACAAAAGAACACAACAGCCCTACAAAAGCGCCACAAGAATCAAGCACATGAGTCTAAGGCCGACAGACCAGCTGCTGCTTCCCCTCAGGCCTCCAACGCCACTGCTGGGGAAAATGTGCCAGCGTTCCTTCCTAGGGTGCAGCGCCTCCACATCCTCCCAGGCACTGTGAGCTGCTGCGGTGAAGTTGGCATCCCCGGTGGTGAGCAGGTCGAAGACACAGGAATGAAAATAGATGTCTTTTACTGGCATCTTCTCATGGCATTGAGTAGTGGCGGTCTCCAGTGTATACCCGGGCCAGGCCGGGGCTGAGGCAGCTCGGGGAAGCATCTGCCCCATGAGAGCAGACACCTGCCCCTGCCCATCATCAATGCGCTCACTTGAGGGGCAGCCATTCACACAGAGCTGCAGATCCTGGCTTTCTTCATAAGCCATAGCCAGGCTCTTGGGCATGCGGAGAGCCAAGGTAAGGTAGCGACCCAATTGCCGCACATACACTGTCGTTCCTATGTACCTGGCATGCATCTCCACATGATGGCCGCTCACTTTCTCCACAATATGTAGGCTTTTGACATCACCATCCCCACCGCTGGTGGAGCCATCAACAAAGGCTGCTGGCAAGTCATCCGTCACGGCTTGGTATACTTTTTGATCGGTACACTCATAGTGGGATTTGAAGATAATAGTTATCTGTGGAAGATAGGAAGGAAAGAGTTGTTGTTTCTTTTTTTTTTTTTTTTAAAGCAGAGAAATATTAGAATCACAACATTCTGGCTACTCAGTAGTCATGGTGTTAATGGCAAGAGGTCATATTTACCCGGTGCCCTATGCCTTCAACTCCAAATCATTTACAGATATCATGTCAGATACTTTCATGTTGTCATTTTAGTACAATGGTTAGGAGCCCTCTTTATCCAGAACCAAATTTTAAGGCAAACACAGGGAACACACACAAAGGAAAGTTTTTTTTCTACGATGGAGAACAATGCTATTGTGAAGACTATAGTAGCTCTAGAATATAATTCAGTAGGTGACAGAGCAACAAAATACAATAAAAATGTAAAATCTAGGCTAAAATCTATTCATGGTTCTTTTAGTCAAAACTTTTAAAAAAGTCTTTAGCAGTATGTTGCTTTGTCCCAATAAAGCAAGGTGATGTTATCTACTAGAAAGAATGAATTGATAGGCTCAAAAATTACTGGAATTCAAATGTACAGCTCTCATACTACCTGAGCCCACCCCTTCTGACCATAGTGCAGACCCCCTCTTGGGAGGCACACTCAAGCCTCTTCCTCATAGTCATATTAATTTGTCCTCTATTCCCACTCTATTTGGTGCAGTTACGCCTCCCTCCTCTTCCTATTTCCACCACTTTTGTGTCCTGTTCCTCATTCCTTCCCAAAAAGGCTCTCCGGTCTTCCTAAAATGACAATTAACTAATCTAATAAATTAATTGTGCTAATGGAAGAATTTAGGAATTCTTCATGACACTCTTTAGTCCTTGGGTTACCAGTGAAACCTCCACATTTTGAAGATGAGGAAAACTGAGGCCTATGAATGTTATATAGCTAATAAGAGGCAGAGCTAGGATTCAAACCTTGGTCCTCTGACTCCAAATCCAGAACACTTTATACTATACTGGACTAGTAAACATTTTTCTCTTTTGGACTACAAAGTAATCAGATCAGGGCACAGTATAAGTGTTACTCATATCCACTGCCAAATATAAATATTGAGAGTAGAAGGTGAAAGCTGAAGTGAGGGAAATCCCAACAACAGTTACCAAGCATGTGTTTCTAAGACAAAAATTACTTAATAGTTGGAAACACTTTCTATCACATCCCAGCAGGGGAAGTACCGGGCAATATGTTTCTGATGCATACTGGTAAAGCAGAAAGTGCTTGACCTTGTAAAAGCAAATGTTTCCCTCAAACATCACCTTTATTCTGGATACTGGCCCTTTTGTTTTCTTGGCAAGATGCTTCTTGATTGATTAACTGCACTACAAGAGATTACACAGTGAGGAAGAAGATCCATTGGTATCAGCAAACAATTTTTGATAGCATTCTGTTTGTTTACTTGTTTGTTTTGCTAGGCCATGGTCTGAGACTGGATTTGAACCCAGGTCCTCCTGATTCCAGGGCCGGTTCTCTATCCACTGCACCACCTAGCTGCCCTGATAGCATTCTTAATGGACAAGCAATAGGAAGAAGGAAGAGGAACTTTTCCCAGTCTGTCTAAAGTCTAGTGCCTTCCCCTTGTTGATTATTTTCAATTGTTCCTGATATATCTTGTTTGCACATAGTAGTTTTCCTGTTACCTCCCCCATTAGATTGTGAGCTCCTTGAGGGCAGGAACTATATCTTTTGCCTTTCTTTGTATTTCCAGGGTTTAACACACTGCCAAGCAATTTAAAGACAGACTACTGACAACACAAGATAAATATCCTAGAATCCTAGATTTGGAGCTGGAAGGGAACTTGGAGGTGATCTAATATAACCCCCCTCATTTTACTGATACGGAAACTGAGGCCCAGAAAGCAGCAGAACTAGGATTTGAACTAAGGTCTTCCAATTTCAAATCCAGTATTATTTTTCTTCTGTACCATAAATCAGTTCTGAATAATAAATCAACTATATTCTGAAGTTTTAACTTATCTTTAACATCATGAATACTCTATTTCCACTAACTTTTCCCTTCTTCTGTCCCTAAATGAAGAAATTATCATGAGGGACTACAGAACCTAGCCCTGGAATCAATGTTAAAGAACATCTGGTTCACTCCCTCACTTTACAGATGAGGAAAACTGAGGCCCAATGAAGTTTAAGAGAAAAATCAAAAGAACAACCCCTGCTGGAGAGGCCTCAAACTGGCACAATTCTATGTACTTCCCATACTACAGGTTCTCACCCCTACTGTCAAGCTTGTCTCATTTGCCCAACTTAGCCCACATTTACTCACACAATTTAATTTCACATGTTCCCACTGGTGTTGCCTGACTGGAATTTTCCAGACATTTCATTTTGCTTCATTCAGGCACTTATAAAGTCAGATCTGAACCAGCTGCACCATAGCAGCTGGTTCACAATCCATATCCGCCATCTGCAGCTGGGACTGAAAAACACAGCTCAAAAGTAGACAATGCACTGTGAAAATGCTGCATTTTCCTACCTCCTATTACCCTGAATCACAATTTCATTTCACTACCAGGCTTCTCACATTTTAATACCTATAACACTGTATAGGAATGGGAGCAAAGATATTTCAGTAAATTGGTTGTATATAAAAACTTCATATGTAAATAAGGTCTATAGAATTAGGCATTTATCAGGTCTACTAAATAGTTTTATTTCACTGTTCTAAATTCAAAGAGCTTGACAAATGTAAGACCAAGACTATATGACAAGGAGCAACTCAAATCAGTTCTGCACCTAAGCAAGTAGGGGGTTAACATGAAAGCCAGCAATCATGAGAATCAGAATTGGAGTGTTCATATAATAACTACCCTTATTCTCAAGAATTACAACATCAGCACTCAATGATTAAATGAACATTGCTTCAAAGAGCCAAGCAATTTGTCTTTCTAGTTTACCAAACTCTAAATTTAAACCAGTTTGGCATCATCTCCAGAAATAAGCATTTTTTGCTCACCTTGGGAAAAACCAAGAGGAAGTTATTTGGTTGGGACAGAAAGAAAAGCACTGATATCATCCAGGTCTCAATAATAGTTTCCAAGAGAGGCAAACAAGCTGCAGTACAAAACATATGGAACTATTCACTAATCTTAACCAAGAATCTGTTTTATTCATTAACACTCTTATTTCAATCCAGAAACTTATCACACACACACACACACACACAATATTTTATTTATCACTTGCACCTAAAACACTTAATATAGGCTCCCACACATGGTTATCTTCATCTGTTATGGTGTTCAAAATATCAAGTTTTGTTCCTACTCTTCTGTACCAATGAGGAACTCTAATTACCCAAGACAAACTTTTGTCTGCCTTTTCAATTTCATGGGGATGATCTCTACAGGAGAAACTATAGTCAAGATTTTTCTTGGTCTGGTTTGCTACTGGGTAAGATGATCTCATACATAACATATGTGTGGAATGATACCACTCTAGAAAGTGTCTAGATTAACAGATTCCAAAGTGTAGTTTGGGATTATTTTAGGGGATTCCATCTAGTGTGTATCTGTTTATATGAGAGATGGTGGGATATAAAGAGAAAATGAGGATAACTAGACATACCAGAAGAGTAAAGACCAAAAATTATCATGTCATAGTAAAAAGGTGTTGGCTTTGGAATCAGAGAACCTGGGCATGAATACTTCAGTAGCTGTCTACCATATCTTTGTGACAAGGGGCAAGTCTCTTCAAGTCTCTAGTTTCTTCATCCATAAAATGAGGGAGGAGTAAGAGAATAGAATGGGTGACATACATGTTCCGTTTTTGCTCTAGATCAGAAGTTCCCAAACTTATTTGGCCTACACCTTTTTTGGAAAAAAAAATTTACTCAGTATCCCCCCTGGAAATCTAATTTCTTTAACCCTTTTTTTAAAAAATTTGCATCATTTCAAAAAATATATAAAATATAAAATATTTTTTGAAAAAAAAAAAACACGATGCATCTTTAAATAATTTATTGTAAATTTGTGGGTTTTTTCTTACATTGAAATTTTGATGATGCAATATTGCATCATGTAAATGTACAGTACTGTATTGTAAACAAGTTATTACACGCACACATTCCTGCCAATGCATGCTGGACTTCCCGACAATGTGTGACATACTTGTCTGCCAACACTCGCTTATTAAGATCTGTCAGCAACCTTGACCACTGATGGGTTATAACTTGCATTCTGTGTGTTTATCTGGAGAAGAATGTAATCACTATGACTTTCAAGTGTCATACACAGATGAAACATGTATGAACAGTTTTTCAAATTTTCTTCTCTTCTTTCCTTATGCTTCCACTGCCCTCAACTAATTGCACCCAAGGCTACTACTGTCCCGTTCCCCCCCCCCCATCATTCTAACACTCCCCAAGAGGCGGTATCACCCACTTTGGGAACCTTTACTCTAGATCAATGATTTTATAAAATCCTATCTTCATTCTGCTTCCATTTCAATTACGAAAAGATTTGCTTCCTTGTAACCATTAAAATGGGATGATATATCAAAAAGTTATTTTCTCCTAATTTCATTCCAAGTAATTCTTTCTTAAAATACTTAAAAATTTTTAAACTGCAATTTTTGCAAAATAAAACACTTTTATGCTTCCAAATATGTTATAAAAGCCTTTGTCAACATGAACATCATTCTTGTAAATTTTAATCAGAACTCAGTGAATCTCTAACACCAGCTATACAGTTTATTTTTTCTCTATGAACTAATCCATATACTGTAATAACTCAATTTGGCACATTTGCTCTATGCCACATCATTTATTATTGATGGATCCTATTGCTGTGCATTTAAAACATCAATGCCTTTGTTAAAACTTCCTCCATCCCACCCCTCTCAACCACCAATCCTTAGACAAACTACTCCACCTCTTCTCATTCATTTTTAATGTTTTATTCCCTGTGATCTTCACCACCCACAAAGCCCATCAGGAAAGAGGGGTGGGGAGTAGAGAGTGAAAAAAGAGGGGGTGGAGAGAAAGAAAAGGGGAGA